CTAGATGGACGCGCTATGCTTGAGGCGCGTGCGCCGACTCTGACATTTGGGCCCGAGATGGGCTGGGTTGACTGCCAGATGGGCAAAACCAGGTGAGTCTGCTGTAGCGCGTACCACAGGAATCTGGTTGAATTTTCGTGCAGAGTTCTCGCGCATACGACGGCTACGATGGTAAAGCCGCAGCCTGAGAGACCGTTAGAGGGGACGATCACCATTTACTCGGAGATTTCGCCCATGGCGAGCAGCGCTGGCGAATACGACAGTGGGCGGTGAGTAAGTGTGCTTTCGGTTTTCGCCTGCGTTATCACTAGTATCCGGCTACATGCGCGTTATCTTCTTGAAATATTCATCTGAAGCTGATTCACTGGCAGGCCTTCGGATGAGGAAGTCACCATTACGCGCATGTTGGATAAGATCATCCGGCGAAGCGACGCAGTTGATAAGGAGTCGCTTTGCATTCAAGCAGGAGAACGCGTTAGTAAATAATTGCTTTTCTCAGGCACATTCTAACTCAGGGATATTTAGGTCTGGGCATTACGTTTGACGATACATTGCCTTGCAGACGCTGGCAACATGCTTGATTGCGCGTCCCTTGCCGCCATCGTATCACTAAGACACTTCAGACGACCAGATGTTGAGGTTGTCGGGAGTGAAGTCACTGTTGTACGTGCTTTTCGACTTTGTATCGCTGCATCATCTGATCTGCATCATCCCCAGCACGCACCGACAGAACGCGCGCCGGTCCCACTGTCAATCCACCACACTCCATTCTGCAATACATTCGCATTCTTCCCGCCTTCTGCAGCCTCTACCGCTTCTGAGGATCCTTCATTTCTGCCGACACAAATACCCCTTCTCGATCCATCGCACTTAGAACAACGTCTCTGCACGGGCACGCTCTCCATTGCTCTCAACGCACAGCGCGAGATCTGCGTGCTGCAAAAGCTCGGTGGCGTGCCTCTTGGAGCGGAAGAGGTTCTAGCAGTTGTTGAGGTTGCAGTGAGGAGAGCGAAGGAAATGAACGAGTGGGTAGAGGGCAGGCTGAAGGAAGACTGGGAAGGGCGGAAGGGGAGTGTAGAGGTGAGATGAGAGGCTCATTTTACTCGTTCTTGGAGCTGCGTGTATTGGACACGCTCGTATTGCATTCTGTGTTTGTTGTATTCTCAGATCTAAAATTCCAACCATGCCGCATGCGCAGCGTTTCGTGCCATATAACCATTGCAGAGGGAACGGACATTACTCATAGTTTGATGTGGGCCTCCAATCATTTGAAGGGATTATTTCATTCGTTCGTATGCTCTAGCCTCGCGGACATTTCTTACAAGCTTGTTGTGAACCAACTGAGCTGATTCAGAGGAAATGCTCACCGGGTGAGGCGGATGTGGCTTGACATGCGGCGAGGTGGCCCGATGTCACGCCACTGTGGACGCTTATCAAGGGCCTGCTGTGCCACTTCCCCTCTTTCCTCCCAACCACCACCTCCTCTCTCCATCCGCTGTATAGTGAGTTCTCAGCAACCCGTATCCGCAACAGCTCCTGACCTGTCTACCAGAATCATGCAGATCTTTGTCAAGACTCTCACCGGAAAGACCATTACCCTCGAGGTGGAGTCCTCCGACACCATCGACAATGTCAAGGCCAAAATCCAAGACAAAGAGGGGTGCGTCCGCCGCCGTTCGCCTTCTCCAGCGCATCTACTGACTCGCACGATATAGCATCCCTCCCGACCAGCAGCGCCTTATCTTCGCGGGCAAGCAGCTCGAGGACGGCCGCACGCTGTCCGATTACAACATCCAGAAGGAGTCGACCCTGCACCTCGTGCTCCGTCTCCGCGGCGGCATGCAGATCTTCGTCAAGACGCTCACCGGCAAGACCATCACCCTCGAGGTCGAGTCGTCCGACACTATCGACAACGTGAAGGCCAAGATTCAGGACAAGGAGGGGTGAGTTTGTCCGCCGTCGTCACGCAAGCACCGCTGACGCCACCCAGCATCCCGCCCGATCAGCAGCGTCTCATCTTCGCGGGCAAGCAGCTCGAGGATGGTCGCACGCTCTCCGACTACAACATCCAGAAGGAGTCGACGCTCCACCTCGTTCTCCGCCTGCGCGGTGGTATGCAGATCTTCGTCAAGACGCTCACCGGAAAGACCATCACCCTGGAAGTCGAGTCTTCGGACACCATCGACAACGTCAAGGCGAAGATTCAGGATAAGGAGGGCATCCCCCCTGACCAACAGCGCTTGATCTTCGCCGGCAAGCAGCTCGAGGACGGTCGTACCCTGTCTGACTACAACATTCAGAAGGAGTCCACCCTGCATCTCGGTGCGTGTTCTACCTCCCCGCTCCTGTAGACGCACGCTGACCAGCCCCAGTCCTCCGTCTCCGTGGAGGCATGCAGATCTTCGTCAAGACCCTCACGGGCAAGACGATCACCCTCGAAGTCGAATCGTCCGACACCATCGACAACGTTAAGGCGAAGATCCAAGACAAGGAGGGCATCCCGCCCGACCAGCAGCGCCTCATCTTCGCGGGCAAGCAGCTCGAGGACGGGCGCACTCTTTCTGACTACAACATCCAGAAGGAGAGCACGCTCCACCTTGGTGCGTCGTGGCCGTGCTGCTCGGCTGTCAGGGTTGCGGACTAACGTTGTATTGTTGCAGTCCTCCGTCTGCGTGGTGGTCTCTGATTGGCGATAGGTCGTTCGCTGTAGTTTTGTTGTTTGTATCATCGCGAGCTGAATTGTATCTTTGTTGAGACGTTCACGTTGCGCGAAGTTCTGGTTAGCCTCGACATGGTCCATCCAGACGCATGGTTGTGAGTCCAGGCGTAAGATGACTCGCATATATCATTGAAGATTGTACCATCATCGGCAACGCGGACATTTAGGTTTTCAGGCTCGTGTTCCGAAACTATGTCTTCAGCTTCGGGGAGCCGCGCTGGACTTGCTTGGATTGACTTGCATCAAGGAGTGACGAACGATATTTCGTATGATCTTGGACAAGCCAGCCCAACCGGGCAGAAGTATGTAACGAGAGTGATATAGAGAACAAACATTTTTATGTAAAGCCGGCAGAGAAAATTTGGCACCCAACCAGCTAAGCGTCCACCCCAGTAGCCCCATATGCGCCATTGTGCACGATCTAGATATGGCGTTCCAGAGCGTCACACCTCGACAAGCGCTCATTGCATCGCAGGCACACACGACCGCGCTTGTCCTGAGGGTAGTGGCGCCTCTTGACGTGACGCCCAATGGAAGTGAGAGCATATGGACCCCGTTGTTCGCAGCCTTCAACTTAAATTCTGGGTCTTGGTAGTGGGTGGTGGTGTGGGGCCCGATCTGTCTCTCATATAACGGGATTCCACAGTTGCTATGCGCGCAAAGGAATCTTGGTTTGGATCGAGAGCAGCTGGAGCTGATGGGGGTTGCTGCGAGGAGCCCGATCCCGCCGTGCCCTGGGGGTTGTCTGTCATTGGGTAACTGGGCTGGACAGTCGGGTGTAGAAGCATTCTACAAATTGCATAAGTTTGGCGTCCGGGGGAAGCGTTGGTGAATGTACGTACGGGAATGGCGCGGCCCTGCTGGGTTCGACGCCTGCCCTGTCTGCTGGCTATTTGGGGCCGGTGCAGTAACGGACCCGAGGTAGGCCATTCTTCGGGACGTTAGAGGATTATACCTGAACTCGGTGGTAGCACAATACTCACATTGCATCGAGCTCGCTGGGGAACTCGTCAGACCACGAAACTCCTGAAGCTGCAGGAGTCCAAGACATATTAGGTTGAATGGTTTGGGGAGCATCTCCCTCCGATAATTGTGAGGTCCACTCAAAGGAAGTCCGCTCGAAATTCCATT